CCACACCCATCGAGAACATCATGTTGTTCACAACTTATTATCAATGCTTATATGTAACACTTTGAAGGTCGAATAACAATCGAACTTGAATTATCTTTAAATAAAAATAGTTATTCTATGAGAGCTTTCACAATACCACGAATTAATAAAATCTTTACATACTTAATAACTATCTAAACAAACACATTGCTCATGGTTAGGAATATTTTTTTTTTCTTTCTTTCAACAAGTAATGTTTTTAAATCTAGAGAAAGTCACTGGTCATATACTGTGCTAGTTTTGAACAATCGTTTGACCGACTGCAATTTCTTGACATTCTAATACTATCTTGTTAAATATTATTGACCCATTTAATTTAACTGGACTTCACTTACTCTTTAAAGTTGCCCTACAGATTAAATATTGATTTTAAACATCATTCGAAAGAGTAGAATTAAATCGATCTTTCCGACGACACTTCTTTGTACAATATTCTGATATTAAACGGGTTACAACAGCTTAATCTTTTCATGAGTTGAAGACATCTAAATATGATAGATATTGCTTTTTCAATTTATAAATAGTCTTTCGAAGTTGAATTTTTTCACTTTTCACGATTGTTTGCATAAACATGACAAGCAGTATACGATAATACTTCATCCGTATCTATCGAACAGAATATTATTACATATTTTTCATTGTAATAGTATAATATTAGACTGAAAATTCAAAACTTTAATAAAGAAAACAATGTAGTATAACAATCGATTCTTTTTGTTTCTCTTTGTTTCCAATATGTCAAGTAAGAGTAACTACAGAAATATAAAGAGCAGAACTATAAAAATTGATTATAGTCGTATAATATGATTGTGAAATGATACTATTATTATTGTAAGTTCTTAGACGAAGTACTCAAAATATAGACTATCGTAAGCATGTTAAAAAGCAATAGAGACTTGTATATAAGGAATTTATGATTGTATTTATTATAGCAAGTCATGAACAACACATTAATGAATATATACTGCCGAAAATGTACTCAACAAAAAAGAAATAAATCATATTAAGTTTTGATTTTTCTATGTAGTCTTCTCCATATTTTAAAAAACTTAGTAAAAATATGGACTACAGCAGATGTTATGTACACTAATATTTGATATCAACATAGGTTTGATTATTGTCTTCTTATTATCGATCGTTATTTTTCTTGAATGTTAAATGCCTTGAGAAAGACACTTTAGCTAGCTTTCGCGAAAAACTATCATAACTATTATTAAACGTGTCCAGAGACAAAATTTCACATAAAAAAAATCTTTTTTTTTAAGTTTTCAGAACTCTCTTGCCTATAGAAATTTTGAATCCTGTTCTTGGTATCAAACTATTGAATTTTATTTATTTTTCAAAAAAACAAAATTTCTAATGACTAAGAAAGATATCAACAGAAATAATTTCCACATTCTTATTTTTCATAATCATGTTGATTGATTTAATTACGTCGAAGTAGTATCATTATTATTTCGAATTTCTTCCATACATTCAAATAAATCTTTTGCGAATGCATCAGAAACATGATGATAATCTCGAAGATGAGATTTTAATGCATTCAATGGAATTTTATGACATCGACATTGTACCTTTGATTCAATTGGTTGAGCAAGTCCTGGTAAAAGAATTCGTTTTTTAGTAAATGGACATGAAACTTTACATAAATTATAAACTACATTCTCATTTTCATCAAATAATTTTGTTATTTTAGGTTCTTTATTATTGATAATAGCTCGTATTAAACGTCGAGCATAATATGGTTTTAATCTATGCTTGCCAATAAAATGGTTATATAATCTGATTGGACGAGTTTTCGTATGCTCACAAAATTTAATAGAATGTTTTGCTTCAGTAAGACCATATGCGCCATCAAATGTTAATGGACATTGACCAATTACAGTTGTAATTCCTTTTCGTTTTTCTTTATTCATATCTTGATCCTAAAAAGTTAAATGAATGCTTGTGAAGAATTACTCTTTGAAATTAATCAACTAATTCAATTATTAGTCAGTAAAAATCTAGAAATACTCAGAAAAAAAAAGCATTCCATAGAATTTCAAGCTGAAAGTCTTTTAAAACAAAGATTTTTCTATAAGAAATAGAATAAAATTTGAAAATATAATCTTTCATAGAATTGTAATTGGTCAAAATTTCAAGAAAAAATATATGAAATATAGATGTTTCATAGATTTGAAAAAGAAAAATACAAAACAATAACTGTTATTTCAAAATTTCGTCGATTCATAAATCTTTTGTTTTTTCTAAATAATAGATATCATATACGATAATTTTATTATATCAATGACAGGGATTGATTTTCTAATTTAACTCACAGAAAACTGTTATGAACCAGATATCTACATTGTTAATATGTTTAGTATTTCGAAGGATCACTTTTTTATATACAAGTCGGAGTGCATCTACTTAAAAATAAAATACTCATGATTATTCCAAACACAAATCTACGAGAGAAAATAACTATCAGTATTTCCATCGAGTCGATCACTTTCTTTTTCTAATATATTAACATGTTTTCAATAGATTGGCTTGTATTTTTCACTAAAATATAATCTCATTTTCTTAGTTGGTCTGTTCTCTATACTATGGATTTTTAATGCAGATCTAGAAATACTCAACATCAATATCTCTGTATAATGACAACGAAGGAAATATTGTTACAAATCGCAACTTGATCTGTTTCAACAGAAAGATAATTTTTATGGAATGGTATTTATTAATTCCATTCGAGTAAGAAAATATTAATTGATGTAATATTTAGAAAATAAAACATGAAATAAATTAGATACGAAAAAAAATAATAATATTTGATATTTTAGTTCAAAAAAATAGATTTTATCAAATCTTTCGTAGATATTATTGTTTTACCTTAATAGATTTTATTGGTTCACTAAAAGAAAGAAAAATATGTCATCAGAATCTTGGAATATTCTCTAATAGAAAATATAAAACTTACTCAATTGATGATATATCTATAAAGTCATGATCAATAAACGTTGAACATCTATCATCTTAAATCAATCATGTTTATTATTCATTATTTAAAGTTAAGAAAAATTTCCACTTACTTTCTGAAATTTCAGATTCTTCCACTAGAATTAAACACAAAAAAAAAAGAGAATAATCAATAAAATTCTTCTATCTTGCAAAAGAACGAAACAAACTTCTATCGAGTGGATAAAATTTCATAAGTTCATGACTATTCTGAAAGTTTCAACCCAAATAAATGTTCATCCGTCAAGTTACTCAATTGCAAGCAAAGAATTTTCCATCAAAAATATCAAATTTGCTTGAAGTTATATATGAGCAAAACTACAAATCGAAATTGGAACTCTGTTGAGCTTTTCTACTCTTATCAAAATTTCTTTATGAGCTCAATATAATCCTCAAAAAGTAAGTAATTAAAGTAGAAATGAAATATTTCGGTTTTCAACAAATATTTCTCAATGTTAATTAATATCTATAAAAATTCAATTTACCATTTGAATTTATGTTTTCTTTATTACATTGACCAACAGTAGAACAACTTTTAGTTTCCGATAATAATGGCTCGACTTTCACTATCACATCTAAAATTAAAGTAAAAACAAGAAGAATCAATAAACATAAAAACAAAAAAAAAAAAGATTATCTAATTTAGTTTTTACCTAAACAATTTGACTGAATAGCTTGATTAATTTGTTCAAAAATATTTTGTATTTCATCAATTGAACTATTTGACGCATCAAGAAGTCTTTTTCCTTGTTCAATTAAATTTTGTTCACGTTCAATTGTGGATAGTTTACTTTCAACAATTGACTTAAGTGTTGTTATAATTGTATTTAATTCATAACGAACATTATCTAATCGTTGTTTATTTTGTTTTGTTATTTCAACATGTTCAATTAAATGATTCAAACAAACAACTTGTAAACAACAATGACATTTATATAATTCTTTAATTGAATTATCACACGTTATATCAGTACATAAACCTATGTTGGACATTTCTTAAAAACAAAAACAAAGATTGTTTCTATCTGCAATATTCCATCAGCATATGATTCTTATCACTATGACGAAATATTTACAATAATTGACAAACTTTCAACTACTAGCTTTCATCGTATAATTTTCTTAGCTGAATTCATTGATGAAAGAACATTTTAAACGATGTAAAAACTTAGAAATTTTTTGTATTCTATAAAGCAAAGTAGGATTGAAAATACATTCAAAGAATTCTAAGCGAAAATAACCTATTATTTTTTTAATTTATTTTTCTGAACAACTTAAATGCATTAAATAAAATAATAACTTTGAAAAAGAATCAAATTTTATCGAACTTATCTGGTTTATTATTTCGTCTATGATGAATGGAAGAAACTTAATGTACGTGCCGTAGTGAGAGTGAGGGATAATAATAAATGGTCGAATTTCAGACCGAAAACCGAAGCGATCGAAAAAAGCTGATTGGTGATTAATTAAATATATATGATACATATTTATTTTAAAAGACGGCGTCTTCTTATTGTGTGCATCTTGTGCATAAAATCCAAGATAATAGTGAAAAAATTATGAATTTGATATCTAATCTAATATATATGTTTGAGAAGAAATTGTAATTCAGAAAAATTTAAAATTTTCTAAATAGTAATATGAAAACTTAAAGTTTTAGGATTGAAATTTAAGATTTGCACGAAAAAATATTTCTCCTGCAACGTAAATATTCATTATTGTAAATTAAAATATAGTCGAATTTTTCCATAGTAGTGGCAGGGACGGCGCGAGCGAAGGGGGTTGAGGGAGAAAGGGTACTCCCTCCTGCTTTTGAAAATTTTCGTTTTTTTGCTCAACTATTACCTCAAAATTTGACTTTTTTCACATTTTCTCCCATTTTTCGAAAAGACCCTCCCTCTCCTTTGACCTCTTCGCGCCGTCCCTGAGTAATGGAAATATTGGAATTCATTTTTTTTGTTATTCTTGAGGAATAGATGAGAAAATCTATTTCCTTAGATGAGTCAACTTATCCTTTGGAAATAAGTCGACATATCCAATGACCAAATTTTATCATTGACGAATAGATCAGAAGGTTCTCTTCTTTAGACGACTCGACCTATCCTAAGACTAAAGTTTGTCACTGAGAAATCATTGGAAAATTAATTTTAAAAATAAACAAATAAAATTCAATATTGATAAAGACGAAGATCTAATAAGTGCCGTAGATTCAGTATTTATATATTGATTTAAAATACATAGTTGCATTTAATATTTTATCTTTTTTGGAGAACTGACGATAAAACATGGATGAATTCTAGGTGTGCTGAGAAAATGTCGAAAGAAAAAATCTAGAAGAGGAGAAATGTCGAAAAGTAAATATGAAAGTAGAAGAATATCGTAACAGAAAAATATCGAAAAAGATGATGTATCCAGTAAATTGTGACTCTAACCATATCTATTTCTTTATTGTTTTTCTCATAATTCTAATAGTATAGAAGTTTAACCAATTGTGATTTTGACGACTAATGCCTGATAAAAATTAAATAATAGAGTTAAGCGAAGAACTATTATATTAACTAAAATTCAATTGTGTTAGGACTAAAACTGCTACATCTTAAAGTGACGGAATCCGATCAGTATCTCTAGCTTTTCATTTATAAATTCAAATAAAAGAATATCTTTACTTGTAGTAGATGACTATGTTTTCAAACTGAATGAAACAACAACCTATAATTGTTACGCAGAAAAAATTATTAATCAATTTTTTTTCACTATCTGCATTTGGCCACTGTTATAATATTAACATTAACGCATATTATATAACATGTTGTTCACTATTCACAACTCTTCAAAATATTTATCAAACATTTTTCTTTCGATATTATTTTTTCGACATTTTTATGGCCAACCAATTATTATTACCCGAGAGTGAAAGGAGAAGAAGACTAGTAGAAAAATGAGCTAAGAATGGATGATGAATAATACGCCAGCAATGACGTCGATATGTACATGTGAAAGATAGAAGAAGATGATAGTGAGAGTAGTTGTTGATAGCAATGAATGTATGACCGATAAATTATTCGAATTGTTGTTTTAAATGACTTCTTTTTACATACTCGTAAAGATTGAATATACGGAATCTTGATGTAGTAGACAATGGCAAAATTCAAAATATATAAAAAGTTGAATAAGAATTTTTATTCTCCTTGAATGTACAATAAAGAAATAGATGACAAATATTGATTATATTTTTAGTTCAAACATATGATGACATCATTTCCAAATAGATATAAATAATGAATTCATGTGTTATATTTTTTTTTGTATCTATTGTGGCTAAGAAGAACAATTCTTATGAATATTCTTCGGTATCGATTTTTGTATTATCAAATAAAATTAAACATGTTTCAGGACTATCTTATATAACGTGAGGCTTTCTATTCTTCTTTTCGGAGATTCTCCTAAATGGTTCAGCAAAAAACTATGAAACTTTCAGAACAGATAGATCTCAATGAACAGAACAAAACTTATCATAGACTCAAGATCATCATATGTTTTCTCCATGGAAATATAAGATCATAAAAATCACAAAGTGATCCGAAATATTTCTTACAAAAATCTTTACATCATTATTTTTGCCATAGTCTTTTGTTTTTGCTTAGAGTTATTGCTCCTAGTGTTCAGAAGAAGTAAAAAAAATATTGAAAGCATTATCAAAACACTAGTTTTCTTTCGATGATGCTAAGTTTTGAAAGATTATTCAATTTCATGAAAAGTATATTATCCACAAAGAAGAATAGAGGACATTCCAATTCGATCATGGTATTTAATAAAAAAAAAACTTTGAATCAGGTTAGTGGAGATGCAATAGAGTAAAACGTTGTAAAATTTGGTTTTAAGGCAATTATAAAGAATGATAGACGTTTTGATTTTCTTAGCATGTAACTGAGATTTTTTTTTTTGAATTTTTAATATGTAAATGAAATCAATATTTTTCTATCTGTTTTAGTTGATTATCAAAGTTGAATTAATTACAAATAACTGATTCACATAGATCAATCAATGTTCGCATCAAATGACATATGTCTGTACGGGTGGAAAATAAGCTTAAAATACTATTATTTTAATCGATTTTTATTTCTTTTCACATCAACTTGTTTTCTTCTTCATTCTCAGCATATAATTTTCGCTTCTTAGTTATTCAACGATAATGAAATGAATAAACAACATGATGTGTGTGAATTCACATATATTTTCTTAATCTCATTATGTATATTTTTCTATGATTTGCAATTTGGTGATGATAAACTATTTAAGAAATTGATGATTTAAATGATTCAATTAGATTCTCGAAAATCTTGTTTGGATTTTTTTCTGAATTTCAACAAACAAATTTTAGACATGCTCATCTAATAGCAGTATTGTATTTCACTGAGAAAAACTGTAGAACTCAAATTAAAAAAAATTATATTGATCCTTTCTGAACGAATCGATCCTATCTCTGACAAAAAACAGTCGAATTCCTACAAACAATTATTATCAACGAAATTAAAACTATTGTTTCTTAGTGCCATGTAACAATGTAAGTGTCGTTCAGGATAGATTTTTTTGTTTAAAGTCAATCTTCTTTCATAATACGAAAGACTAGATCAACCAGAAATATTTATTGAAACTAAAAATTTTTCAGCTTAGACATTCTTAGTTACAGCTGATAGTTTGATAGAAAAAAATTCGAAAAGCATTTGTGGGTGTGGGTGTGGGTGTTGGCTAAGAGATGTTTCACATTCACACCCACACCCTTATCTAAAACCTTTTGATGGTTTATTAATAAATGAACAAAACCTTAAAAGATTCTGCATCTTGGTTATAGTCCTAAAAAGTTCAGCATGACTCGTTTATTTTAGAGAGTACTTACTGTAAGAAATATAAAGTTTGATTTTCTTTTGATGCTGAAACTGATCATTTCCAATTATATCGTTAATTAGAAGAATAGATTTTTCAAACTGTATTTACACACTACAATAAATGATGATTCACAAAGGGAATGCAATTTTCGTATGCTTACGAGAGTAGTATGATAATATCTATTTCATTGTAACTTTCAAAAGTTTTTCTGTTCAATAAAAATTTCCTGAAAATTTCCTGTGTTAACTACAGCTCTATGAAAAACTATAGAATCATCTATTCAAGTGGAGTTGTTTGCTTTTTCTCTGCTAATTTAGACTGTGCAAAGAAGCAAAGTCTATAATAGTAGATACATTCGAGTATATTCTATCCAATTATCAAATCAAGTCCTTCAATACTACTACCGAGCTTGAGAAAAGCAATACTTGTTGAAATAGATCTATTTTGACCGGTAAAAAACTATAGACTCAGTATCACATTCTAGTTATTCTTGAATCGGAGAGACTTGAGTTTTGATTGAAAGTCGGATATATTCATCGAGGAACTCCCACTAAGCAGTTCCATTCCCAAAACTTTGAAAAATCGGTTATAGTCAAAATTAGAATGTGGTATTACTGATCAAGTCACAATGGTTTGAAAATGCAACCCAAGTTCACTATTTCTCATCAAGACTATTCGAAATACAAACGAGATTGGTTTTTTGGCAATGGATTCGGCTAGAAAATACGTTTTGCTACAAAATAAGACGTTCGGGAACTGGGTATACGTTTTCATTATGTAAACATACAAGGTGTGAGAGTTGTAAGAGGAAAACAGTGATTTAAATCATTCATAAATCAGTCGAAAATCATGAAAAATCAATCGAATCTCAGTAAGTTTCCATCAATTTGACTGGTTGTCTGTACTTCTCTGTCGTTTACTAACTTCCATCAGGATGCGGGTGAAGATATCGGCATGGCCATGAATTTAGAAGAGACTCATTTCCACCATGAAGATTCTTTACATTGAAAAGACTTGTCAACTTGAAGAATCTGACTTTTCGACAACGATAATTATTTTATTCGTTTATAATTTCATCCTATTCTTTTCAAATTTGATAATCAAAACTGATTCTAAAATGAATTTGAATCGGATCCAGAAATATTAGCTATTTGGCACTTCATAGAAAAGATCAGTTTTAAGACTCTTATTGTATTTAGTGGGTAACGAACTTCAAAGAATGAAGGCAAGCTTTCTAATGTACCATCATCAATGAGAGCTTTGCTTTTAACAAAAATTTCGATATTTTTCTGTTGGAATGGGTGTAAAGAATACTGTCAGCTTGACTGACACTCAAACCTGCACCCACACCTACACCCTAGAAAGAAGGTTGCATCTCTTGTAAAGTATTCATATTTTTGAAAAAATCAGATCCTTCAAGCTTTTCAGATTTTTTCTGCCGGAAAAAAAGAAGTCTGTATAGTTGATGCAATCGTTTAATCAGAAACGAGATCATACTCATTTTTTTAGAAATTTGGACACTGATAGAAAAAAATAATACCAACATTAATGTCTACAGACGAAAATGGCGAGTGAAAAAACGTTGGATTAATATAATAATCTATGACATGCAATTATAATAAGCAAGTTAATGTTGTATATCACTTTGAGATAGATCGATATTATTGGGAACACCAAAATAAGCTACTTCTCCCTGTTGCAGCATAAGAATACGATTACTATTGGCTACTGTATTCAATCGATGTGCAATTGTCAATATGGTACAATCCTGAAATTTGTCAGCAATAACCTCTTGAATCATCCTATCGGTTGTATGATCAACATTTGCTGTAGCTTCATCAATAAGTAATATGCGGCTTTTCTTCAGAATGGCTCGAGCTACACAAACCAATTGACGTTCACCCGCACTCAGATTAGTACCCGATTCGGTGACCAGCATATGGAGTCCGTCGGGATGATTGTGCACCAAGTTTTTGAGTTGAACAGTTTCAAGTGCTCTAAGACATTCCTCATCTGAGAATTGTTCGAATGGATCAATATTGTATCGAAGTGTACCACAGAAGAGTATTGGTACTTGTGGAATAATACTTAGATGAGAACGAAGATAATGTAGTGAAAGACATCCAATGTCGATGTCGTCGATGAGAATGGTTCCGTTGATTGCTGACTGATCGACCAGTCGAAAGAGAGCTTGAAGAAGTGATGACTTTCCGGCACCTAGAAGAATCACAGATTCCAATGCTTCAGGTTCTGCGGAAGTACACTGTACATGCTGAAATGCATAGCTGCTATTCAAGAGTCTCTTATTGCTCGAAAACACTTTTTATGAGTTATACATACTTAGAATAAACGATAATTTCTTATAGTTCCCCAACTCATGAATCTTTTTATATCTATGTCGTACGCTCTCTCAACTGTAGCTGAGAAAGTGCCAGAAAATTAAAACGTATTATATCTAATGAGCGTGATGCACCATGAGTAGTTTTCGAAATGCGCTCACTATGATTGCATTCGATTAGCCTTCTTTCATAGACATAGTCATCTGTTAGAAATAGAAAAGTATGCTACAAATAGTCTGATTTAAGTAGAGAAATGTAAACATAACGAAACTACTTTTAACCACGGATTTTCAATAATAGGAGAAAACATCAGTATCTTTCTTCTGTGTATACCCATCCGTTTTTCGATCGATTTCCCATCTCCTCATTATGAATGTTCATCATGTACATTTCCAGAAGTGAAGTAATTATACCTGTCCGACCAATAATTCCAATCTTTTCCTTGGATTCAATTCGTAGATTAAGATTTTTGAGCACAGGATCGAGTTCTGATCGATAGCAAAAAGTATAGTCTTTAAATTCGATAACACCACGAGAAGGCCAATCATCTGCTGGTTGAATGAGCACACCACTTTTATTACTGTTTTGATGGCTTTCTAGTATTAGTTGACCATATTCATGAATACGTTCTGCACTAGTCATGAAATTTTCAGCTTC